ACTCAGGAGGCTGAGGCAGGAAAATCGCTTGAACCCAGGAGGCGGAGGTTGCAGTGAGCCAAGATCGTTCCATTGCACTCCAGCTTGGTCAACAAGAGTGAAACTCCGTCAAAGAAAAGAAAAGAAAGGGAAGGGAAGGGAAGGGAAGGGGAGGGGAGGGGAGGGGAGGGAAAGGAAAGAAAAGGCAACCAGCAGCCATCAGGGCTGCTCTGCCTATGGAGTAGTCATTCTTTATTCCTTCACTTTCCTAATAAACTTGCTTTCATTTTACTCTGTGGACTCACCCTGAATTCTTTCTTGCGCGAGATCCAAGAACCCTCTCTTGGGGTCTGGATCGGGACCCTTTTCCTGTAACAGTAGTAGCAGGGTCTTCATTATTAGCATCGTTAGTGCCACTATAGTGAATGCTGTAGACTCTGAGGTTGAACCCAAGCCCAGCCCTGCCCCAAGTTCCTTCTCCTCTGGCCTCATCCCAGCCTCGCTTAAGATCCAGGACCCAAGGCTCTGCCCGTCTGTGCCAATGCTACAACTCACGAGAGCCGGCCCGGCTCCGTAGTCAGTGGCTACTCTTGTGACCCCTCTGGTCTGTCTGCAACCTGGAGGAGCCTTGATTTTTTTTTTTTTTTTTTTTTTTTTGGAGACGGAGTTTAGCTTTTGTTGCCCAGGCTGGAGTGCCATGGCGCAATCTCAGCTCACCGCAACCTCCACCTCCCGTGTTCAAGCGATTCTCCTGTCTCAGCCTCCCGAGTAGCTGGGATTACAGGTGCCTGCCACTACGCCTGGCTAATTTTTGTATTTTTAGTAGAGACGGGGTTTCATCATATTGGTCAAGCTGGTCTCGAACTCCTGACCTCAGGTGATCTGCCCGCCTTGGCCTCCCAAAGTACTGGGATTACAGGCGTGAGCCACCGTGCCCAGCCAAGGGGTCTTGATTTAACCTGACAAGTGGGCCTTCTGAGGTGTGAGGAAACCTAGGGTAGGGGTGATTCATTATGGGATTTCCAGCCTTCCTTCTGCCTACCAGGCCCAGCCCAGCCCCGATGGGCTGGTGTGTGACTGCCTGAATGTGGGTGTACGTGTGTGTGTTTCAGAGCCTGACTCCAAACTGGCCCCACATCATTCATCAGGCTTTTTGTGCATTTAGCAATCCCTCCCTGACGCTCACTTAGTCATGAGTCTGTGCTGGGCACTTTGGGACACCCCCAAAAAACTCAGCATCTCCTAGACTTGGGGAGACGAAACTGGACAAAGAATCTTCCAGCACTATAAGCACAGCCTAGGTTGAAGGGAGGAACAGCAGGTCAGGGAGCTGGGAGGGAGTAAGGGGAGCAAGGGGTAACCACGGAGGCTTCCTGGAGGAAGGGCCCTGCCCCAGAAGGTCGCAAATCCTAAGTAGACCCTAAGGAAAGAGGCTGCCATCCATGACATGCCCCTGGCTTAAAACAAGGCGGTCTCTGCCCCAACTCCAAGCTTTAAAGGGAAATCTGGTGGGGTTCAGGGGCTCACACCTGTCATCCCAACACTTTGGGAGGCCAAGGTGGGTGTATTACCTGGGGTCATGAGTTCAAGACCAGCTTGGCCAATGTGGTAAAACCCCATCTCCACTAAAAATAGAAAAATTAGCTAACCATGGTGGTGCATGCCTGTCGTCCCAGCTACTCGGGAGGCTGAGGCAGGACAATCACTTGAACCTGGGAGAAAAGAAGATGTTACTAAGAAAATCATATGGAAGAGGAAGAATATTTACTATTCACTAAGTAGAAGTGTATCATCATAAAGATCTTCATCCTCATCATCTTCATGTTGAATAGGCTGAGGAAGAGGAAGAGAAGGGGTTGGTCTTGCTGTCTGAGGGGTGGCAGAGGCGGAAGAGGTGGAGGAGGTGGAAGGGGAGAGAGGAGAGGCAGACACACTCCATGTAATTCATTGAAAAAAATCCACGTGCCCGGCGCAGTGGCTCATGCCTGTAATCCCAGCACTTTGGGAGGCCGAGGTGGATGGTCACCTGATGTCAGGAGTTCGAGATCAGCCTGCCCAACATAGTGAAACCCTATCTCTACTAAAACTACAAAAATTATCTGGGCATAGTGGCAGGCACCTGTAATCCCAGCTACTCAGGAGGCTGAGGCAGGAGAATCGCTTGAACCCGGGAGGCGGACTCTGCAGTGAGCCGAGATTATGCCGCTGTACTCCAGCCTGGACAACAGAATGAGACTCTGCCAGAGACAGAGAGAGAGAGAGAGAGAGAAAGAAAGGAGGGAAGGAAGGAAGGAAGGAAGGAAGGAAGGAAGGAAGGAAGGAAGGAAGGAAGGAAGGAAGGAAGGGAGAGAAAGAGAAAGAGGAGGAAGGAGGAAGGAGGAAAGAAAAGAAGAGAGGAAGGAAGAAAAGGAAGGAAGGAAGGAAGGAAGGAAGGAAGGAAGGAGGAAGGAGGAGAAGGAGAGGAAGGGAGGGAGGGAGGAAGGAAAGAAGGAAGGAAGGAAGGAGAGAAAGAGAGAGAGAGGGAGGGAGGGAGGAAGGAAAGAAGGAAGGAAGGAAGGAAATATGGAAGAGGAATTTATTTACTATTCATTAAGTAGAGAATCATCATAAAGGTCTTCATCCTCACCATCTTCATGTTGAGTAGGCTGAGGAGGAGGAAGAGGAGGGGTCTTGCTGTCTCAGGGGTGGCAGAGGTGGAAGAGGTGGAAGGGGAGAGAGGAGAGGCAGGCACAGTCCATGTAATTTTTATTGAAACAAATTCATGCATAAGTTGACCCGCACAGGTCAAACCCATGTTGTTCAAGGGTCAACTGTACTCCATATGACACTCTAATGGCGGACACATGTCATTATACATTTGTCCAAACCCATAGAATATACACCACCAAGAGCAAACCCTAATGGAAACTATGAACTTTGGGTGATAATGATGTGTCAGTGAAGGTTCATCGATATAAACAGCTATACCATTCTGGTGCTGGACAGTGATAATAGGAGAGTCTGTGCATGTGTCAAGGCAGGGGGTAGAACTCTCTGTAACTTTTGCTCAATTTTGCCATGAGCCTAAAACTGCTCTAGGCCAGGCATGGTGGCTCACGCCTGTAATCCCAGGACTTTGGGAGGCTAAGGCAGGAGGATCCCTTGAGTCCAAGAGATTGAGACCAGCCTGGCCAACACAGCGAGACACTCATCTCTACAAAAAATTAAAAATAGAGGCCGATGCGGGTGGATCACCTGAGGTCAGGAGTTCAAGACCAACCTGGCCAACATGGTAAAACTCCATCTCTACTAAAAATACAAAAATCAGCTGGGCATGGTGACAGGTGCCAATCCCAGCTGCTTGGGAGGCTGAGGCCGGAGAATAGCTTGAACCTGGGAGGCAGAGGCTGCAGTGAGCCGAGATAAAGCCACTACACTCCAGCCTAGGCAACAGAGCGAAAGTCTGTTTCAAAAAAAAAAAAAAAAGCCTGTAATCTCAGCACTTTGGGAGGCCAAGACAGGTGGATCACCTGAGGTCGGCAATTTGAGACCAGCCTGACCAACATGCTGAAACTCCGTCTCCACTAAAAATACAAAATTAACTGGAAGTGGTGGGAGGGCACCTGTAATTCCAGCTCTTTGGGAGGTTGAGGCAGGAGAATCACTCACTGGCAGGGTGGCAGTGAGCCAAGATCTAACCACTACACTCCAGCCTGGGTGACAGAGGGAGACCCTGTCTCAAAAAATAATAATAATAAAATTTAAAATAAAGCTGGGTGCAGTGGTTCATGCCCGAAATCCTAGCACTTTGGGAGGCCAAAGCAGGAGAATTGCTTGAGGCCAGAGTCTAAGACCAACCTGGCCAGCATAGCAAGACCCATCTTTAAAAATAATAATAATAATAAAACTGTTCTTAAAAAAAGTCTTAAAATTATTTATCAGCCGGTCACAGTGGCTCACGCTTGTCATCCCAGCACTTTGCGAGGCCAAGGTGGGTGGATCACCTGAACCCGGGAGTTCAAGACCAGCCTGGCCAACATGGCGAAACCCCGTCTCTACTAAAATTACAAAAATTAGTCAGGCATGGTGGCGCATGCCTGTAATCCCAGCTACTTGGTAGGCTGAGGCAGGAAGGCAGGAGAATTGCTTGAATCTGGGAGGTGGAGATTGTAATGAGATGAGATCGTGCTGTTGCACTCCAGCCCAGGCGACAGAGCGAGACTCCATCTAAAATATATATATATATATATGTGACTTAGATTTTCAGTCTTAAATTTTGCAGCAAAGAGGATGCCTCACCCTAGTCCCTGCCTCAGCCTACAACCTTCACATGGTTCTACCAAGCAGAGTTCCTATCCCCAAATCTTGGGGAACGAGCTTGGAGGAGGACATTGTCTCTGACTCCCCTGGGAAGTGTCCCCCATCCATTCTATCCCTTAGCACCCTACATCCTGAGCCTCCACTATGTGCCCAGCTTTTTGCTGGGAGGTCCCCCGAAAGAGGACATCTGAGGAGGTCCCAGGGGTGGCCCCCAGGGGAATCCCAGGCCTGGCTCAGGCTGGACATTCCCAGGCCCGCCCTGGCTGAGTCCCCAGCCCAGTGGGTCTCCTGGAAACTCCTCGGGGTGGTTTTGAAGTGAGAGCCCCACAGGGAAGCAATTTACATACACAACAGCCCGGTCTCGTCATCCTGCCTCACCTGATGCCAGAATAAAGGGGAGATGGGCCCATTCTGCACGTCTCAGTCACGGGCACCCGGAGAAGAGGAAGGACAATTCACTCTCAGTCCAGGTGAGTCCAGAAGTCAGCTCCTGGGACAATGCCAGGGTCCTGAACACTCAAGCTCAACCCCTGCTCTCAGCTACTGCTGGTGGCTTGGAATTAGGGGCTGGAACTGGATGAGAGGTGATAGCTCCTGGTCCCCGTGGGCTCGGAGCAGGCCTTGGCAAACATTGTCCTCGGCCCCTGCACCCATGCTCTGCCTGAGCCTGAAGTGTTGGTTGCAAAAAAAAAAGCAGGAGGCAGTGCCAGCTTCAGGCCTCTGCTTCTCTCTTCTCCCTCAACACAGCTGGTCTTACCAGTAGAGCAGGCGGCAGCTGAGAGTCCCCTCTGGTGGCCAGCAGTGGCTACAGAGCTGTCACCATGGGGAGGGGACAGGGCTTGCTGGGCTGGCCTCGGTCTACCTCTCTGGAGAATAGGCAGAGTTTATAGAGCCTGAACCACCTGGTCTTCAGGCCCCACTGGGGATGGGCCTGGCTTCCTGACCACTGACCTCAGCCTAGGAGGGACAGAAGAGACTGGGGGAGACCATGAGGCCCAGATGACCTTGACCCAGGGTACGCTGCCCCATGTCCCTGCTGCCTCCCGCCCACAGCTCTACGAGAGGCAGGTCTGTCATTCACCGCTGGACTTTGACAGTGGCCAAAGGCTCTGCTCAGTTCTCTGTGCCTGTCTCCGTCCAGCACTGCCGAGGTTCTCTGCCGAGGCCAACCAGGAATATCCCTTGGAAGCTGGAACCCAGCAACAATGGCCCAGGGTGTCCTCTGGATCCTGCTCGGATTGCTACTGTGGTCAGACCCAGGGACAGGTGAGTCAGGGGGTAGAGTTCTGGGACCAAACCTCTTGGCTCCGCAGAAGGTGTACTGCTGTCCCATCTGTGTCTTGCCCTGCATGAAGTGAGGCTGGAGACTCAAGCTCTCAAAGAACCTCCAGCATGTGGACATAGATATTCCCAGCTCCACAGAGTCAGGGCAAGGATAGGGGGAGGAATCTGTGGCCTGGGGAGCAAAAGTAGGGAAGGCTTCCTGGAGGAGGAGACGTAAGAGCTAGTCTAGGAAGAAAGAGAAATGATTTGGTGGAGAAGCCAGAAAGGGTATTTTTTTTTTTTTTTGCAGAGAAGAACAAAGCTACACAGGAATTAGGTGGTGGACTGGAGAAGAACCTAGATTCTAGACAGGAGAGTGTGGCGAGTAAGACTTCCTGGATTCAAATTCTACCTCTGGCTGGGCCTGTAATCCCAGCACTTTGGGAGACCAAGGCAGGCAGATGACTTGAGATCAGGAGTTCGAGACCAGCCTGGCCAACATGGTGAAACCCCATCTCTACTGAAAATACAAAAATTAGCCAGGCGTGGTGGCAGGCACCTGCAATCCCAGCTACTCAGGAGGCTGAGGCCAGAAAATCACTTGAAATCAGGAGACGGAGGTTGCAGTGAGCTGAGCACTGCTGCACTCCAGCCTAGATGACACAGCAAGACTCCATCTCAAAAAAACAAAACAAAACAAAAAGGCAAATCCTGCCTCTGCCACTTCCTTGCTGTGTGACCTTAGGCAGGTAATTTAACCTCTCTGTGCTTCAGATGCCTCATCTGCAAAGGGACACTATCTTAGTCCCTTTGTGCTTCTATGCCAGAGTACCTGAAACCGAGTAAATTTGTAAAGAAGAGAAATTTACTTTCTTGCAGTTCTGCAGGCTGGGAAGTCCCAGATGCCAGTGCCTTGATCTTGGACATCCCAGCCTCTAGAACTGTGAGAAATAAATTCCTGTTCTTCTTCTTTTTTTTTTTTTTTAAAGACAGAGTCTCACTCTGTCGCCCAGGCTAGAGTGCAGCAGCACGATCTCAGCTCACTGCAACCTCCACCTCCCGAGTTCAAGAGATCCTCCTGTCTCAGCCTCCCGAGTAGCCGGGATTACAGGCGCCCACCACCATGCCTGGCTAACTTTCGTATTTTTAGTAGAAACGGGGTTTCACCATGTTGGCCAGACTGTTCTCAAGCTCCTGACCTCAAGTGATCTGCCTGCCTCGGCCTCCCAAAGTGTTGGGATTACAGGCGTGAGTCAGCACGCCCGGCCAAATTTCTGTCTTTTATAAATTACCCAACCTCAGAGATTCTGTTATAGCAGCACCAACATACTAAGACGGGGGCTAATAGGACCTAATTCACAAGGGTTGTGAAGATTAAATGAGTTAAACTATTAATATATAAGTCACCTAGACTAGTAGCTAGCACATAGTAAATGTTTACTGAATGTTAGTTATTATTTGATAACCCATCTCTGAACCAGCTCTGAGCCTAACTTAGCATTTCTAGGTTTGCAGTTCAGCCACTGACATTTCCCCCAACATGGCACAAGTCCATCCTGCTCCTCCCCCTGCCTCTCAGGCATCTTTCTTTTTATTTTATTTATTTATTTTAATTTTATTTATTTATTTATTTATTTTGAGATGGAGTCTCACTCTGTCACCCAGGCTGGAATGCAGTGAGGGGGGTCCTGTGTTCACTGCAACCTCCACCTCCTGGGTTCAAGAAGTTCTCTTGCCTCAGCCTCCTAAGTAGCTAGGATTACAGGTGTGTGCCACCGCGCCCAGCGAATTTTTTTATTTTTAGTAGCGACAGAGTTCTGCCATGTTGATCCGGCTGGTCCTGAGCTCCTGGCCTCAGGTGATCCACCCTCCTTGGCCTCCCAAAGTGCTGGGATTACAGGCGTGAGCCACCGCGCCTGACCTTTTATTGTTTATTTTTTGTTTTATGTTTTTTGTTTTTGTTTGTTTGTTTGAGACAAAGTCTCACTCTGTTGCCCAGGCTGGAGTGCAGTGGCGCGATCTGGGCTCACTGCAACCTCCACCTCCCGGGTTCAAGTGATTCTCCCATCTCAGCCTCTCGAGTAGCTGGGATTACAGGCACACACCACCGTGCCTGGCTAATTTTTGTATTTTTATTAGAGATGGGGTTTCACGGTGTTGACCAGGCTGGCCTTGAACTCCTGATCTCAGGTGATCCTCTCACCTTGACCTCCCAAAGTGCTGGGATTACACACCTGAGCCACCGCAGCCAGTCCCAGGCATCTTTCAAAATACCTTTCCCTCTAACATCCCCAACTTTTAACTTCAATCCAGCACAAAAGACCGTCCATCTCTGCTTCTCAAGATCTGGGGACTTTTCCACTTTTGTCCACTGCAATGTCACTACCTACCTTCTGCCACCTTCATCTCTCACCTCCACACTGTCTCCCCTTTTCTATCCTGGCACCCCAAAAATCCATTTCCTTATGGCAGCCAAATAAACAAATCTAAGCCTAAGAAAGGAGTCTTAGGATGCCAGGCTGGTCACACCTCTCTCCTGCTCATAAACCTGTTATGGCTCCCTAGTACTCACAGACAGTCTGAGCTCTTTAGCCAACAGGCAACAGTCTATGTGCCTCAGTTTCCTCATCTATACAAGACTAGCATTGGGGGTCACGGGGTTATCAGATGGAGGGCTGGGAGCATTGGGAAGAAGTGGAATCAATACGAGGAAGCTCAGCAATGGGTGGGGTTGGGCTAACACATTCTTTCCTCCTGCAGCCTCCCTGCCCCTGCTCATGGACTCTGTCATCCAGGCCCTGGCTGAGCTGGAGCAGAAGGTGCCTGCTGCCAATGCCAGCCACACAGCTTCTGCGTGGCTGCTGTCAGCCTCAAACTCTGGCCCCCACAATCGCCTCTACCACTTCCTGCTGGGGGTGCAGAGCCTCGATGCTGCAGAGTTGGATCCCTACCCACTGAGCCCAGAGCTGCAAGGCGTGATCAAGGAGGTGGCCCAACATGATGTACGAGAAGGGCAGGAATACGGGGTGGTGCTGGCACCCGATGGCTCGACTGTGGCCGTGGAGCCTCTGCTGGCAGGGCTGGAGGCAGGGCTGCAAGGGCGCAAGGTCATAAACTTGCCGTTGGACAGCACGGCTACCTCTCGGGAGGCTGGAGTCACCTTTCCAGATATTGTGGCCATTGCTCCAGATGTAAAAGCCACCTCCACCCCAGGACTCAGGGATGCCTCTCCAGATGTCACCACTGCAGATATTGGAGCCAACTCTCCAGATGCTACAACAGGTTGTCCAGATGTCCAAGCTTCCTTGCCAGATGCCAAAGCCAAGACCCCCCCGACCATGGTGGACAGCCTCCTGGCAGTCACTCTGGCTGGAAACCTGGGCCTGACCTTCCTCCAGGGTCCCCAGACCCAGAGCCATCCAGACCTGGGAACTGAGGGCTGCTGGGACCAGCTCTCTGCCCCTCGGACCTTTACTCTCCTGGACCCCAAGGCATCTCTGTTAACCACGGCCTTCCTCAATGGTGCCCTGGATGGGGTCATCCTTGGAGACTACCTGAGCCAGACTCCTGAGCCCCGACCATCCCTCAGCCACTTGCTGAGCCAGTACTATGGGGCGGGGGTGGCCAGAGACCCAGGGTTCCGCAGCAACTTCCGACGGCAGAATGGGGCTGCTCTGACTTCAGCCTCCATCCTGGCCCAGCAGGTGTGGGGAACCCTTGTCCTTCTACAGAGGCTGGAGCCGGTACACTCCCAGCTTCGGTGCATGAGCCAAGAACAGCTGGCCCAGGTGGCCGCCAATGCTACCAAGGAGTTCACTGAGGCCTTCCTGGGTAAGGAGGTTCCCCACACCCTATGATGCTTCCCATTACAGATACAGACGCCCCCAACTCCATATGTTCAGGGAAGTTGAAGACTAGGAGAGACCAGAGGTGGCAATAAGGGATCTGGTCGGGGGTGGGTGGGACAGCTGCACAGGTGAGGAAATGCCAGAGTTGGGCCTTGAGGGATGAATAGGAGAGTGTTCATCTGATTTTGTTTTGTTTCATTTTATTTATTTGCATTAATTTATGGGGTACGAGTGTAACCTTGTTACTCGCATAGATTGCATAGTGGTCAAGTCTAGGCTTTTAGGGTACCCACCACTCCAATAACATACATCGACCCATTAAGCAATCTGTCATCATCTTCCCTCCTCTCTCCCCCTCACCCTTCTGAATCTCCACTGTCTATCTTTCCACACACTACATCCATGCATACACATTATTTAGCTCCCATTTATAAGTGAGAACTTATAGTATTTGTCTCTCTGTGTTTGACTCGTTTCATTTGAGATAATGACCTCCAGTTCCATCCATGTTGCTGCAAAAGACATTATTTCCTTTTTTTTTTCTCTGTCCCCCAGGCTGGAGAGTGCAGTGGCACGATCTCAGCTCACTGCAACCTCCGCCTCCTGGGTTCAAGCAATTCTCCTGCCTCAGTTTCCTGAGTAGCTGGGACTACAGGCATGTGCCACCATGTCTGGGTAATTTTTTGTATTTTTAGTAGAGACGGAGTTTCACCATTTTATCAGGATTGTCTCCATCTCCTGACCTCATGATTCACCCTCGTTCTCCCAAAGTGCTAGTATTACGGGCGTGAGCCACCGTGTCCGGCTGACATTATTTCATTTTTTATGGCTAAGTAGTATTCCATTTCCTGCCAACCACTGTGGACAGCCTCCTGGCAATCACCCTGGCTGGAAACCTGGGCCTGATCTTCATCTAGGGCTCTCAGACCCAGAGCCATCCAGGTCTGTGATATATATTATATTTTCTTTATCCAATTCTCTGTTGATGGACACTTAAGTTAATTCCCTACCTTTGCTATTGTGAATAGTGTCCTGATCAACATGTGAATGCAGGTATCTTTTTAATATAATGATTTATTTTCCTTTGGGTAGCTATCCAGTAGTGGGATTGCTGGATTGAATGATAGTTCCAATTTATTATTATTATTATTATTATTATTATTATTATTATTTTAGACAGAGTTTCACTCTTGTCTCCCAGGCTGCAGTGCAATGGCACGATCTTGGCTCACTGCAACCTCCGCCTCCTGGGTTCAAGTGTTTCTCCTGCCTCAGCCTCCTAAGTAACTGGGATTACAGGTGCCTGCCACCACGCCCAGCTAATTTTTGCATTTTTAGTAGAGACAGAGTTTCACCATGTTGGCCCAGGCTGATCTCAAACTCCTAACCTCAGGTGATCCACCCACCTCAGCCTCCCAAAGTGCTGGGGTTACAGGCGTGAGCCATCACTCAGCTTTTCTGTCTTTGTAATAATAGCTATTATGATTAGAGTAAGATGGTATGTCTTTGTGGTTTTAATTTGCATTTCTCTGATGATTGGTGATGTTGAGCATGTTTTCCTTTGCCTATTGACCATGTGTATATCTTCTTTTGAAAAATGTCTATCAATGTCCTTTGCCCACTTTTTAGTGGGTCTTTCTTTCTTTCTTTCTTTCTTTCTTTCTTTCTTTCTTTCTTCCTTCCTTTCTTTCCTTTTTTTTTTCCTTGAGTTGTTTGAGTTCCTCGTAAATTCTGGGTATTAGTCGCCTACCAAGTGCATAGTTTGCAAATATTTTCTTCCACTCTGAAAGTTGACTGTTCATTCTATTGATTATGTCTTTGGTGTGCAGAAGCTTTTTGGTTTAATTAAGTCCTGTTTGTCTATTTTTGTTTCTTTTGCCTGTGCTTTTGAGGTCTTAGTCATGAATTCTCTGCCTAGCCCAACGCTCAGAAATGTTTTCCTTAGGTTTTCTTCTGGTATTTTAGAGTTTCACGTCTTACATGTAAGTCTTTAATCCATCTTGAGTGAATTTTTTTTTTTTTTTTTTTTTTTTTGAGACGGAGTTTCGCTCTTGTTGCCCAGGCTGGAGTACAATGGCACGATGTTGGCTCACCACAACCTCTGCCTCCCAGGTTCAAGTGATTCTCCTGCCTCAGCTTCCCGAGTAGCTGGGATTACAGGCATGTGCCACCACAACCGTCTACTTTTTGTATTTTTAGTAGAGATGGGGTTTCTCCATGTTGGTCAGGCTGGTCTCGAACTCCCGACCTCAGGTGATCCGCCCGCCTCAGCCTCCCAAAGTGCTGGGATTACAGGCCTGAGCCACCGCGCCTGGCCTTTTTTTTTTTTTTTTTTTTTTTTTTTGAGACTGAGTTTTTGCTCTGTTGCCCAGGCTGGAGTGCCAAGGCGTGATCTCAGCTCACTGCAACCTCTGCCTCCTGGGTTCAAGTGATTCTACTGCCTCAGCCTCCCACATAGATGGGATTACAGGCACCCACCACCATGCCCAGCTAACTTTTATATTTTTAGTAGAGACGGGGTTTCACCAAGTTGGCCAGGCTGGTCTCCAACTCTTGACCTCAGGTGATCCACCCACCTCAGCCTCCAAAAGTGCTGGGATTACAGGCATGAGCCAGTGCACCTGGCCTTGAGTTAATTTTTGTATATGGTAAGAGTTAGGGGTCCAGTTTCATTCTTCTGCATACGGTTGGCCAGTTGTCCCCATACCATTAGCACCATTTACTGAATAGGGAGTCCTTTTCCGATTGCTTATTTTTGTGGACTTAGTTGAAAAGTATTGTTTGTAGGTGTGCGGCTTTACTTCTGAGTTCTCTATTTCATTCCATTGGTCTATGTGTCTATTTTTGTAACAGTACCATGCTGTTTTGGTTACTATAGTTTTGTAGTAAAATTTGAAGTCAGGTAATGTGATACCTTGCTCATTTTGCTTAGAATTGCTTTTGCTATTTGGGCTCATTTTTGGTTCCTTATAAATTTCAGGGTACTTTTGTCTGATTCTGTGAAAAATGACATTGGTATTTTGATAGAGTTTGCATTGAATCTGTAGATTGCTTTGGGAAATCTGGTTTCTTTTTTTCTAGAAAATGAGGTCTCACTATGTTGCCCAGGTTGGTCTTGAACTCCTGGGCTCAAGCGATCCACCCACCTCAGCCTCCCAAAGTGCTGAGATTACAGGAGTGAGCCACCATGCCTGCCCCCACCCCCAATTTTTTTTTTTTTCTTTTTGAGACAGAGTCTTGCTCTGTCGCCCAGGCTGGCGTGCAATGGCACAATCTCGGCTCACTGCAACCTCCACCTCCCGGGTTCAAGCAAGTAATCTCATGCCTCAGCCTCCCAAGTAGCTGGGGTTACAGGCATGTGCCACCATGCCTGGCTGATTTTTGTATTTTTAGTAGAGACCAGGTTTCACCATGTTGGCCAGGCTGGTCTCAAACTCCTGACCTCAAGTGATCCACCCGCCTCGTCCTCCCAAAGTGCTGGGATTACAGGTGTGACCCACTACGTCCGGCCCGCCCTCAATTTTTTTTAATAAAAATAAAATAGATTTAGTTGAGTATAGTTAGTGCCCAGGGAGGACCAATGTGGGGTGAGACTGGACCCTTTCCAAATCTGACAGGAGGCTGAGGGATGGTCTGTATGTGCGCTTTAATGGGGGTGGAGGGGGCAGGCAGAGAAACACTTCCTGACCCCATCCATCCCTTGCCTGTAGGATGCCCCGCCATCCATCCCCGTTGCCGCTGGGGAGCGGCGCCTTATCAGGGCCGCCCGACGCCGCTGCAGCTGCCGCTAGGATTCTTGTACGTGCATCACACCTACGTGCCTGCACCACCCTGCACGGACTTCGCGCGCTGCGCAGCCAACATGCGCTCCATGCAGCGCTACCACCAGGACACGCAAGGCTGGGAAGATATCGGCTACAGGTGGGAGGGGCCCGACTGGGGCGGGGGCTGGGCCCACGTTCGGGGGTGGGGTCTGAGTGGGTGGAGCCTGATGCAGGGGACCGGGTCTGAACTCTAGGAAAGCTGGCAAGACCAAGGAGGAGTCCTGCTAGAGACAGACAAGTTGGAGAGGTGGCGTGGCCTAGGCTAGGGGCGGGGCCTTAACAGGGACCGGGAATAGCTAAACCGTGGGACTCGAGTCAGGGTAGAGAACTAGGACAGGAGGCGGGATCTGGGAGAGGAGCGGGACCTGTGGCAGAGTCTGGGTCCGGGGCCAGGCAGAGATGGCCTAAAACAGACAAAGAGGCCTGGTGCGGTGGCTCCCACCTGTAATCTCATCACTTTGGGAGGCTGAGACGGCAGGCTCGCTTGAGCCCAGGAGTTCGAGACCAGCCTGAGCGATATAGGAAGACATCCCCCCCCCATCTCTACAAATAAAAAAATTAAAAAAACAAAACAAAACAAAACAAAAACAGCCGGGGATGGTGTTGCGCAACTGTAGTCCCAGCTACTCGGCAGGCTAACGTGGGAGGATCGCTGGATCCCAGGAGTTCAGGCTTGAGTGAGTTATGATCGCACCTCTGCACTCTAGCCTGAGTGACAGAGTGAGAACCCGTATCGAAAAGAAGAAAGAGGCCGGGTGTGGTGGCTCACGCCTGTAATCCCAGCACTTTGGGAGGCCGAGGCGGGAGGATCGCCTGAGACCAGCCTGACCAACATGGCTAAACCCCGTCTCCACTAAAAATAAAAATTAAAAAAAAAAAAAAAATTAGATGGGCGTGGTGGAGGGTGCCTGTAATCCCAGCTACTCCGGAGGCTGAGGTAGGAGAATCGCTTGAACCCGGGAGGTGGTGGTGACAGTGAGCCGAGATCGCACCCTTGCACTTCAGCCTGAGCGACAAAAGCGAAACTCCATCAAAAAAGAAAAGAAAAGAAAAGAAAAGAAAAGAAAAGAAAAGAAAAGAAAAGAAAAGGAAGGAAGGAAGGAAGGAAGGAAGGAAGGAAGGAAGGAAGGAAAGAAGGAAGGAAGGAGAAAAGGAAAAGGAGAAAAAAATACCCCGAAGGAAGGAAGGAAGGAAGGAAAAGGAAAAGGAAAAGGAGAAAAAAATACCCCCAAAAACCAGAAAAGCGCTCTGAATTGGGCAAGAACTGGACTTGAGAAAAGGCAGAGGTGGGGAGGAGGAGGGCAGAAAGGGGCGTGCCAGTACTGAAGCGCGGATCCAGAGAAACCGAACGGTTCTGGAGTGGCAGCTGTTGTGAGAGTGGAACAGAGCTGGATGGGACAGAGGTGGCGCGATCGCGCCGGTCTTGGGGTCGGTGGCCCTTGGCACACCAACAGAATCCGGGAGGGGCGCGGATAAGGGCCCGGGCCCCCGTGACGCCGCATGGTGCTTGCTTCTCCCTCCCCTCCGCAGTTTCGTGGTGGGTTCGGATGGCTACGTGTACGAGGGACGCGGCTGGCACTGGGTGGGCGCGCACACGCTCGGCCACAACTCCCGCGGCTTTGGCGTGGCCATAGTGGGCAACTACACCGCGGCGCTGCCCACCGAGGCCGCTCTGCGCACGGTGCGCGACACACTCCCGAGTTGTGCGGTGCGCGCCGGCCTCCTGCGGCCGGACTACGCGCTGCTGGGCCACCGCCAGCTGGTGCGCACCGACTGCCCCGGCGACGCGCTCTTCCATCTGCTGCGCACCTGGCCGCACTTCACCGCGGTGAGTCTGCGTAGCCTGCACTACCACGGCCCGCCGTCCCTCAGTCTACACAAGTTCCACAAGGTCCCTGCCCCCTGCCTGTAACCGCTGTGCCTGCACAGCCTCAGCCAGGCCCCCAGCTTCCCTGCCTCACGTCTTTTCAGGCAACCCAGGCCCAGCCTTTGCGGGTCACTCTGCAGGCAACATCCCTGATCCTGTGACTTCTGCCTGTGCGGCCTCAGCTCAGCCCCAGATCCAGCCAGCCTGTCCTTTCCCCAGCTCCTAATACCTCTACCTTTACAGCCAGGTCATGGACCCTGACACCTACCAGCAGCCCCTCTGCCCTCACAACCTCAGCCTGGCCTTCATGGCTTCTCTACCCAAGTCACAACCTGTCAGGCTGCACCACCTCATCCTAGCCCGCTGAACTCTGATCTCACCCCTGCCCCTACCCGAAGGCCTTCTGTCCACACAACAGGAACCCAGGCTGTGACCTTTTGCCTTTACAACCTCTGTCCAGTCCTTAATCCTGTGTTGCAATTCTCTGCCCAGACAATCTCAACTCTGAGGATGCTTGTTTCGTCCCTGACTCCTTAACCCCTGATGACAGCTCTTATGCCAGCACTTTGACCTGATGCCCTCATCCCAGCCTTAGGTCGCCATCACTAAAACAACTTTAGAATCACACCTGGATAATCTTGTGCTACCTACATACTGCCACTCCATTTCATTAAGTTATTGACTAGCATACCCACCTCATACCCATCTTGTCCCCACTCTCTCACTTTGGGCCACTGTCCCCTCCCTGATCCAGGGTTCCACCACCAGGAGGGCAGACCCAGCCACACACCACAACCACTCCCAAGCCTCACACTCTCTTGTCTTTTTCCAGACTGTAAAGCCAAGACCTGCCAGGAGTGTCTCTCGGAGATCCAGGAGGGAGCCACCTCCAAGGACCCTGCCAGCCACAGACGTTCAATAAAGACAGCATGGAAAGAACGTCTCTGTTCATGTCTGTGTTTGCATCCATTGTCTAGTTTGGGTCTTCCCAAAAGCAGACCTTAAGACAATAATTCCAGTACAAGTAGTCTATTGAGAGGAGATCCCAGGGCAGGGCACAGTGGCTCACATCTGTAATCCCAGCACTTTGGGAGGCCAAGGCAAGGGGATCACCTGAGCTCAGGAGTTCGAGAACAACCTGGACAGTAGAGTGAAATCTCATCTCTGCAAAAAAAATTTAAAATTATCCAGGCATAGCCAGGCACAGTGGCTCGTGCCTGTAATCCCAACATTTTGGGAGGCTGAGGAGGGTGGTCGCCTGAGCTCAGGAGTTCAAGACCAGCCTGGCCAACATGACAAAACCCTGTCTCTAACAAAAATACCAAAAAATTAGCCAGGGGTGGTGGCACATGCCTGAGGTAGGAGGATCACTTGGGCCTAGGGGGCAGAGGTTGCAGTGAGCTGAAATCGCACCACTGCACTCCAGCCTGGGAGACAGAGTGAGACCCTGTCTCAAAAAAAGAAAAAATTATCCAGGCATAATGTTGTGTACCTGTAGTCCCAGCTACTCCGGAGGCTGAGGTGAGAGGATTGCTTGGGCTGAGAGGTCAAGGCTGCAGTGAACCATAATCATGTCACTGCACTCCAGCCTGGACAACAGAGTGAGAGCTTATCTCAAAGAAAAAAAGAGGGAAGGAAGGAAGAAAGGAATAAGGAAAGAAAGAAAGAAAGAAAGAGGAAATAAGGGAGGAAGGGAGGAAGGGAGAAAAGAAAACAAGAAGAAAAAAAAGAGAGGTGAACAAGCCAGGTACTGACACAGGGAACTGGAGGCAGCCAGGAAATAATGTGTTTTCAAGCAAGTTTCCATTGTAGGCAAGAGAGCTCAGTCTCACTGGGAAGCCCTGGGGGAGAGCATAGGACACATACCTGAGTCATCCCACACAAGGGTTGAGGGAGCTGGGGTATTTATACACTAAAGTTATCAGGTGAGGGCTATTCTCAGGGACATGTTAATTCATTGGCACTTTTGGAATGCTTGTTACATGGACATAGTGGATTCCATCTGCTAGATACAAATGGCTGCAAATGTCACTTCCTCAGGGAAGTCCTCCCTGATTTTTCCAGCTCAAAGAGTGGCAGTTTTGCTCAGCATTCATTGCAGTCTATTTCCTTCTAGGTCCTCCTTACCAGCTAGAAATGTCTCATGTATGAGTTTAGGATGTTATCTACCTCCATCATCTGTCAGCTCCAGGAACGCAGAAACCAAGTTTGGTTAGTTCTCTGCAGCCTCTCCAGCACCTAGCACATAATAGGCACTCGGGAAACATTTGACTAGACAAAGGCGTACATGAATCTTTTGAAACTGATATTATCGTCTTGTACAAATAAGGAAACCGAGGCTCAGAGAGAGGAAATGACTCGCCTGAGGTCACACAGAGGGAGAGGAGCCAGCTGGTACTCCGCTCCTGGACCGGATTTATGCTGACTCATGTATTCCCCAGAACAGCATTTACTCACCTCTGGCTTTCAAGTAAGCATTTGTGGAACCCTAACACAGATATAAGAAAGTGCTCCCAAGGGCACAGCTTGATGAATTTCCACAACAGCACACACCCATGTAACCAGGACCCAGCTCAATAAATAAAACATATTAAGCCAAGCGTGGTGGCACACATCTGCAGTCCCAGCCACTGCAGAGGCCGAGGCAGGAGGACTACCTGAGCCCAGGAGTATGAAACCAGCCTGGGCAACATAGTGAGACCCTGTCTCTTTACCAAAAAAAAAAAAAAAAAAATTAAAATTAGCTGGGCATGGTGGCATGCACCTGCAAGCCCAGCTACTTGGGAGGCTGAGGCAGGAGGATTGCCTGAGCCCAGGAGTTCAAGGTTGCAATGACCCACAGTCATGTCTGTGAATAGCCACCGCACTCCCGCCTGGGTGACAGAACAAGGCTTCGTCTCTCTGAGCACAGAGGCTCATGCTATTCCTGTATTCCCACACTTTGGGAGGCTGAGGCATGAGGATTGTTTGAGCCCAGGAGTTCAAGACTAGCATGGGCAACATAGTGAGGCCCCATCTCTACAAAAAGCAAACAGATAAAAAGTTAAAAATTAGCCAGGTAGCATGCAACTGTGGTCCCAGCTACTCAAGAGCCTGAGGTAGGAGGATCGCTTGAGCCCAGGAGGCCAAGGATGCAGTGAGCTATGATTGTGCCACTGCACTCCAGCAGAGCAAGACTCTGTCTCAAAAAAGAAAAATCTTATTAAAAAAAAAGAACATGCTAAATTTGTGTTATGTGAATTTCACGTCAAAAAAAAAAAAAAATAGGCCAGGCATGGTAGCATGTGCCTATTATCCCAGCTACTTGGGGGGCTGAGGTGTAAGGACCACTTGAGGCCAGGAGTTCAAGACCAGCCTGGGCAACAAAGCAAGACCCCCATCTCTACAAAAAAAAAATTATTTTTAATTAGCCGGGTGTGGTGGCATGCAGCTGTAGTCCCAGCTACTCGAGAGGCTGAGGCGAGAGGATCGCTTGAACCCAGGAGTTAGAGGTTACAGTGAGCTATAATGGCACCATTGCACTCCAGCCTGGATGACAGACCTCATCTACAAAAAATAATAATATTCATATTATTTATAATATATTATTATATTACTATGTAATATAAATATTATATTTTTATTTTATGAAATCTATATTATTTTTACAGACCTCATTTATAAATAATAATAATAATAATAAGGGCGGGGCACAGTGGCTTACACCTGTAATACCAGCACTTTGGGAGGCCAAGGCAGGCAGATCATTTGAGGTCAGGAGTTCAAGACCAGCCTGACCAACATGGTGAAACCCCATCTCTACTAAAAATACATAAACTTAGCCAGGCATGGTGGTGCATACCTGCAGTCCCAGCTACTCAGGAGGCTGAGTTAGGAGAATCACTTGAATCCAGGAGGCAGAGGTTGCAGTGAGCCGAGATCGTGCCACTGCACATGAGCCTGGGAGACACAGCAAAACTCCTTCTCAATAAATCAATTAATTAATAAGAAGAATAATAATAAATCTGGCCATCTTCCAGAAGCTCCCCTTGTGCCCTCTTCCCAGCCACTAGTGCCTCCAAAAGAAACTGATATCCTGACTTGTTACATGTGGTTTTGCCTGATTTAGGATTTTATGTAAATGGAATCACAAAGTGTATACTCTTCATTGTTTTGGGGGTTTAATTTATTATTGCTTTTTAGAGGTGCGGTCTCCCGAGGGCAGGGAGGGGAGAAAGAGAAAACAAGTTAGATATGAGGTCTCCCTATGTCACCCAGACTGGAGTGCACTGCCAATATTCACAGGCATGATCACAGCTCACTGCAGCCTTGAACTCCTGGCCTCAAGTGATCCTCCTCTCAGCAGAGCTGAGAGTGGGGAGGGGGCCGAGATGAAGGCAGTGTGTGGACAGACACTGGGCACGACTGTCACTCTCTCGCCCCCCAGGAGACCCCCCTCCGCCCACCATGGACCCACTGTCTCCAAGCCAGACCTCCCAAACTCAGCCTCCTGAATAGCTCAGATTACTGGCGTTTTATGGCTTTGGTTTTGGTTTTGGCTCAACATTGTTTGTGATTCACCCAAGTTAAGTTATTCATTAGTTTGTTCTCACTGCTGTATGATATTCGGCTGTGTGAAGAGATCACAATTTATTCCTTCTTCCACTAGTGGGCACTTGGGCTGTTTCCAATGTGGGGCTATTATGCATTGCACTGGGAGGCGGGGGCATACCTATCGGATATCTACCCAGCGATGGAATTGCTGAGTCAGAGAAGATCCAGCTAATAGTGTTAGTAGATCCTGCCAAACCGTTTCCCAACACAAGCGAATGGGTCTACACTCCGGCCAACTGTGGATGAGAGTTCTAGGTGCTCTGTATTCTCCAGCATTTGTTCAGCCTGTACTCATTTTGCAGAGAAGGCAACCGAGGCTCAGAGAGAGGGGCAAGCGCTGCCTCCCCGTCAGGGAGGGACTCTGGGTCCTTCTTGCTAGAAGCCTAGTAACCCACCTCCTCTCTTCTCCTCCCCCGAACCTCCAGCATCCTGCCCCCACTGTGCCCTCCCAGACTGGCTGTGGGGTGGGGTGGGACAGAGAGGGTCACGTGGAGTTGGGTTCCGAGGGAGGAAGCCAGGCAGGGTGCAGACGGCTGCTGATTCTGGTCAGGAAACCAAGGTAAGGGAGGCAGTGGAGGTGGGGGCAGGGGGATTCCTGAAGGCAGAGCTGAGAGTGGGGAGGGGGCCGAGATGAGGGCAGTGTGTGGACAGACACTGGGCACAACTGTCACTCTCTCGCCCCCCAGGAGACACCCCCGCCGCACCATGGACCCACCGTCGCCAAGCCGGACCTCCCAAACCCAGCCCGCAGCCCCCTCTCCGCTGACTTCCTATCGCTGGCACACAGGGCGCGGTGGGGAGAAGGGGGCTGGAGGGTTTCGCTGGGGCCGCTTTGCTGGCTGGGGCAGGGCCCTGAGCCACCAGGAGCCCATGGTCAGCACCCAGCCAGCCCCTCGCTCGATATTCCGTCGGGTCCTATCTGCGCCTCCCAAGGAGTCACGGACCAGTCGCCTTCGACTCTCCAAGGCCCTCTGGGGGAGGCATAAGAACCCACCACCGGAGCCAGAGCCGGAGCCAGAGCAGGAGGCCCCAGGTACATGGTTCCCCCACCCTGAGCTTGGGCCGGGCTGGGAAGGCGGATGCTTGGGTTTTGTCTGCCTCCGGAGCATCAACCCTACAGACACAGGAAGTTGTGGGGAGTGCGAAAGCCCAGCAGGAAGTGGCTGGGGCCCAGCTACCCTGTTCCCTCTTTCCCCCTGAAGAAGGTAGGAGGAGTTGCCAGGGTCCTGTGGGCAGAGCGTCCATCTGAGGACGGAACAGTGAATGTAGACCCATGGTGGTATTATCCAGAGGCTAAATGGCTCTTGGCCCCAACGGGTCTCTCCTTCAATGGCTCAGGCCCATCC